CTTAGCTGTTGTTTGTTATTGCGTTATAATCTCCAATAATAATAATATAACAATAACAATAATAATCTCTATCTCTAGGGGACGTGCATAAGCACACCAACGTGCCTACCATCCCTGTCCTATTGTTTCTTTTATTTTCTTATATGTACCCATTTCATGTATTCATAACTATGTATACACTTATACTTATTATCTTGTAAACAATTGACAAATCAAATCAAATCAAATAAATAAATAAATAATACAAATTCTTGAGTTGCCAAATTCTATTAATTTCTCATATAAAATTTTGTAAAATTCACTTTGATTTTTGTTGGGGGCATATATCCCCACTAGTAATGTCTTTTTATTTTGTATTACCACCTCTACCATTACTATTCTTCCCAATTTGTCTTTATAAATCAATTTTGAGGCTATATCCTCTTTTATATATAGTACAACCCCTTTTTTCCTCCACCAATGCTGAATACATTTTCCCCAGTTTTTTATTTAATAAAAATCCTTGATCACATTTCCTAATATGAACCTCTTGAATACAAATCATATCAGCTCTTTGTTTTTCTAACCCAAAAAATATTCTTTTTCTCTTAGCTGGATCATTTAATCCATTAATATTTGTAGATGTTAAATTCACTCCTTTATCCATTTTTCTTCTTACTTCTATCCCTCAATATTTTTACTTAACATTTGACTTCTGATCCTCACTCTTATTTCTTCTCTTCCAAGTATCTCTTCACCTCCTTCCCTCTCCTTCTCCTTATCCCACCCCCCTGCTTCTGAGTTGTAACTCTTTTGGACTCGAGGTCTCTTGGTCATCTCTGCTACTCGATTCTTCCTCTGTTCCTCCTATTTGATCAAAAAATTCTTGAGCTTTAGTTAAGCTATCTATTCTCACCCTTTTCTCCTTCCATATTAAGATACCCTCTGGGGTAATCCATCTAAAGAATATATTTTTTTATTTAAATAATTCGTGAGTACCAATAATCTCTCCTCTGCTCGTGAACTCTTCTTGGCACCTGTTTTAGAACAATCACTTCTCTATCTTTATATTTTATTCCATCTCTCGTAATTCTATAAATTATATCTTTCACTCGCCTCCTTGCAAATCTAATATGCACTTCTCGGGGCGTCTGTGCTGTCTCACGTAACTCGTGTACACTCTGTATACGTCGTCCAACTCATTCACCATCTCATTCTTGTCTGTATTCAAACCTCTGCCAATATCTCCGCCATCACTAACGGTAAGTTCTCTCCCCTCTCTTCCTCTATGTTCTGGAATCTGAGATAGTAAGAGGCCTTATCCATCTCGAGATGAGTCAGGGTCTTATTCTGCTCCATAATTTTTTGTTCCATGTCTTCCAACTTTTTTTCCATTTGATCAGCTAGTTTTCCAATCTCTTTAATCTTCTCTTCATTTATTTTAATCAATTCCTGTATCTGGCCTATCTTTCCATCCAAATTCTTAACTTCACTTCTCATTTCTTCTAACTCATTTTTTAATTCTTCTTTCATTGTTTCTGTTTCAGCTTTACTTTCCGTATGATTTTTAGACATCAATTCCTGCATTGCCAGCATCGTGCTTTGAATAGTTAATAATGTAGTTTGAACTGATTGCGTGTTAGTTTGTGCCGTAGAGTTTTCTGGCGCCAACATCCCTTCAATCGTTTTTTGAGTCTTGTTCCTGTGGGAGTTGATGGTGTTGCTGTTGATACCAATTTTCTTCCTGTTTTTGTAATGGTGGTAGTTGTACTAGTCATATCTTTGATAATTCTTTGTTGTTCCTGTACTATCCTGAGTATGTTTTTCTAGGTTGTATTGCCAACTACCATCAATCTTATCCGTATTTTACAATTTAATTTTCTCGGTTATCTAATATTTTGTATTATTGTTTATCTGCTTAATCTAATTTCCTGACACCATTAAATTAAGGAAGTTATCATCAATTAATAATTATATATTCAGACTTCCAAGCCCACCTTAAGTATTATTACTCTAAATGTTCCCCTCACCTTATATTAATACAATGCCTAGTCTTAATACAATCAATAGTTCATCAGTTCATAAGTCGTTTAACAGATAAAAAAATCACTCTGTTATGCTTAGATATATAACAATATTATAACCCCAGTCACTTCTTTAAAAATTAATTACTGTATTTCAACTAATGTTTCCCTATACATATAATAAAAGTTCTAAGTTCAAGTTAATGCTTTTTATATTCCAGTAAATCACAATATCCAATATAAGGGGGATATGGGAAAGAGAGGGAGGAAATAATCAATTAACTTATCATTATATTAATCAGTATATTAAGTTCATTAATCTATATTCAATCAAATGTATCTAAAAGGGAGAAGAAAAAGGAAATATAGAAAATAATCCAAAGAGGTTAAATATCACTTACTCAAATTAAATCCTATTTCAAAATAACCAACCAATCTTATTTTCTTATTATTTAAATATATATCATAAATAAATATAAAGTAAAACTATACCACTCCAATCAGTTCTAAGGGGGAAGAGAAATAAAAAAGAGAAAAAAGATAAACACTGGATGAGAAGAGGATTTACAATCTCCTACTTTCCTGTCGTTGCCTTGGTATTCTGGTTATATCAATAATAAATTGAGTTTCAGTTCTCAGTTCTCAGCTCTAACAGTCACTTCAGCTGCCTTCCTCTACTCTCCCAGGATTGCCAGTCTCAATAGCCGCCACCGCAAGTTGCACTGTCACTCCTCCACTCAATTTCAAAGTTTCAAGATTCTTGTCCGTCTATAAAGTACTCTCCACGATTTGTTCATATGGCTAGGAAGAGAGGGTTTTCACCAACCATAATCGCTCTTCTCTCCTTTTCACTTTCCTATTTAGAAGTGAGATTCACTTTATCCCGAGCTGGGGGTAAACACCTCAGTCCTGCCACCACTTTCAGCTTTCGCCCTTCCGCATTGGAGTTTCAAACACACACCAATTACTTTTCCATATTATCCACCAATTATAATCCAACACCGATTTGCCTCAAATTTGATCTCTTCTCTCAGCTTCCTTCTTAAATTGTTCCATCGCATCTTCGGGCCAGCCTCAACAGGCTGACTTCTTTTGCCCTGAGCTTCAGGCTCCCTTCTTTACCTCCGGGGTTGCATTCCCCGGTTAGGCTCCAAGAGTTCTTCCTTGCTTGGGTGATCCCACCAGGATCTATCCCCACCTCAAACAGCCGCCCATGAACAAAAACCCCGATGTAGGAGAGCGGAATGGAGTTCTCCTACCTCGCCATGCCGCGATGTCACTGGAAGTCAGAAATACATATTTTAGGTTGTTGATCTTGTTGCTGACTGTTTCTTTAGGGAGCAGTCAGTCCACAAGCAATACACTACTATTGCATAAAGTTAATTTTGACATAGGGGGAGGATGTAGCCACTGCCTTTGATAGTATTTGCCTCTGGGTCACTGGGATGGTGACTTAGAGGTAAAAATGCACACTTTGCACTTGGAAGGTTGAGAGTTCAATCCTAGGCAATGACAGATGTTTCTCTATCAGGGTACAAAAAGAAAAATATCTGCTGCTTACTCGCGTAGGTGTCAGGAAGAGCCACGGTGGTGCAGTGGTTAGAATGCAATACTGCAGGCTACTTCTGCTGCCTGCTTGCTACCAGCAGTTTGGCAGTTCGAGTCTCACCAGCCTTCCATCCATCCAAGGTTGGTAAAATGAGGACCCAGATTGTTTGGGGGCAATATGCTGCTCAGTAAATCGCTTAGACAGGGCTGGAAAGCACTGTGAAGTGGTAGATAAGTCTAAGTGCTATTGCTATCTATTAAGCCCATTACTCGTTACCATCAGCCTGAATTGTTGGAAATTACTTGAAATATTATATATGTCAGTAATTTTCATATTTAGTTCAGGACCCATGACGCAATATGAAAGTTGCAAGTTGGAATCTAGGCTGAACACATATTTTAGGATTTCTCATTACTTTCTAATTTCATGCAGATAGCAAGTTTCAGTATCTAGAATAAGGATTCACAGAATTATGTCACAGGGACAATTTGATCTAGCAAATTACTTAAAATAATTAATTGTTGCTCACTTAGTAGGCAAAAATGTGAAGCTGCAGTTTATTTATTATCTTAGAGTAGGTTTGAATTAATGATTTCAACTAGGATGTTTAAGCTTCTGCTTCATAATTCTCATTTCCAGTTAATGCTGACATACTGATTTCATAAAATAATTGTTTAGAATCTGGAATATACTTCAGAATAGTACAAATTTCATGCAAAGCTATTTGGTTTACTATATGTACTTCCTATTATATTGTGTAATAGTTCAAAAGCAGGAAGTTGAATCTCTTGTGTATGTTAAAGAAATATTTAGAAGTTGGATCCCAACTAATTATTTGAATGTAGTTCCATTGAAAGCAATAATGGTTCAGTTGTTTATTAACTCTTCCCGTTGATTTCAATGGGAATTAAGAACAATTACCTTGGTTTGAAACCATTTCAGAATATTTCAGAATATCCTGGAAAGTAAAAATATTTTCTGAAGACTCTATTAATTTCTTAAAGCAACCAAAAAAGTCCTTGTAGAACAAATTGCAAACTGGACTTGGGATTTTTAGTCTTTAAAAAAAATATATCTACTAAAATTGTGTGATGAAGTTTCCAGGAAAAAGTTTTTGATCAGTAGTTATATTTGGAAGCAGGGTGTTGATACTAATTGTTTTATGTGCCTTAAAATCATTTCTATATTACAGGTGAGTATAAACATAATCTGTACAGCATAAATAGCAACTACTACTGTGTCTTCCCAACATAGGAACAGATGCCAATCAGAGCCTGAGAACTGATTGACTTTAGTTAGTTGTTTCCAAACTCTTTGAATGAAACTCTTAAGAATGTAGCATCATTCTAAACTGGACATTTATGTTACCTTTGATATTTTGTTTTTTTTAAAGGTCAGCATGCAGTACCTTGTGTACAAGATTTGATTCTTATCTTTTCTCGTTAAAGGTTCATCGTCAAAAATTATATGGTTACATGAAGAAAACAATGAAACAAATGACATATTAAGAGGAAAAGGCCTCAGTTTCAGCTGGGCATCTGTTCCTGTTAAAGGCATTAATAACTTAGGAAACACATGTTTCTTTAATGCTGTTATGCAGGTAAAACTGCTCAGAAATCTATAACAATCACACAACAAAGAAGTACGAGTGTCAATGGCAATAATCATATCAAACTATGATATATGGGTTGTTCATTCCCTTTTCAACACAAGTTGTGCAAAATTGTATAAGTGGATATCTAATTTACATCTAATATTGCTCTCACATTTTCAAGAAACATCTAACATTTAAACATCTTGTATTTATAGAAGTGCCTAGTCTATATCTATAAGCTAATCCAAGAAGAAAATTTCCAAGCAGAGACCAGAGACTTTCAGTTAATTGTCATTTCCTTGGTCTTGATATTGCCTTTTAAAAGATATATAGTATGAGATACAGGCAGTGACACATTAATTAAAATATGACAAGCTTTGCTCAATAGATACAAGTACCACAATCCAGTCAAGCAACTGCCATGGAAGACTGGTAGTCTTCGTCTTGCGACCACAAATGAGCCCCAAATTTTTGCGGCTATCAAGACATTTGTTATGTGAACTTTATCCCATTTTATGACTTTTCCTGTGAATCGCTGCAGTTGCTAAATTAGTGACATAGTTATTAAGTGAATCTGGTTTCCCTATTGACTTTGCTTGTCAGAAGGTCACAAAAGGGGATCATATGACCCTGGATCACTGCAACTCTCATAAGTATGACTCAGTTGCCAAGCGTCTGAATTTTGATCACATGACCATGGGGATGCTACAATGATCGTAAAATGTGTGAAAAACGGTCATAACTTTTTTCAGTGACACTGTAACTTTGAAAGGTCACTTAATGAATTGTTGTAAGTTGAGGACTACCTGTATACATTCTGTAGCTTAAAGCAACTCAGTAAAAAAAAATTCACTGTATTAGTCCAATTGCTCATTATTTATAGCTTTTTTTCCATTTTGTTTTAGAATTTGGCACAGACACACATGTTAAGTGAGCTGATGTGTGAAATGAAAGAAAAGGGGACAAAGCTAAAAATAGCTCAAAGCCCAGCATCCCAACTGGTAAGCATTCTCTTGAACCAAACTCTGAGCATTACTTTGTGTGGATCAGAGGTGGTATTTAGCTGGTTCTGACCAGTTCTGGAGAACCGGTAGCGGAAATTTTGAGTAGTTCAGAGAACAGGCAAATACCACCTCTGACTGGCCCCACCCCCATCTATTCTCTGCATCCTGAGTTCCAGCTGATCAGCTTGGTCTTCTTTTGTTGCCCGGCACAGGAGAATGGAGCTGGAAAGCAGGTTAGTGGGGTGGGGAGGGAATGGGATTTTAAAGTAACCTTCCCCCATGAGTGGGGTGGGAATGGAGATTTTGCAGTATCCTTCTCCTGCCATGCCCACCAAGCCACCCCCACCAAGCAATACCACGCCCACCAAGCCACACCCACAAAACCGGTAGTAAAAAACATTTTATCCCACCACTGGTGTGGATACTAAAAACCATAACAAGGAGCACTCTTTTTTTTTTTTTAATAAAGTTTTATTTGGGTTTTCACACATACAAAATACAAGTAAAACATCTTTTTTGAAAATAGCATGGTCCCGGGTTGAACTTCTTTATACAGACACAAAACTCAATTTCATGCTCCTTTTTGTGTTCTATTCCATATCTTATACTATTCTACATTTTCTATATAGTTTTTCCCCTCTTTTAATTTTCTCAATTTTATTTTGATTATCTCATCTCAATTCAAATCATTATATTTATACTTTTGTCTGTTCTGTTTCAATTTCATATTATCTTTTCTCATTAAACAAATTTTCTCCTGTAGTTACTAATTGGAGTATGACACCTTTATATCTTTTAATTACATCCATTCAACTCTTATTTAAACTTCAATATATACCTTAAGGTTATGACCTTCAATATAATACATAATACATAACTTCCAATCGAATTCTGCTTGGTGCATTCTTATAATACACACTATATTCTTTTTTTTAAAAAAGATCATAAATATATGTAATTATAAACCCTCATTCCATTCCAATTCAGTTCTATCATTAATAATCATTAAAATCTTAACATCTTTAACACTTCTTTTCAATTAAATATCATACTTCCTTAAAGACACATATAATCTCCATAATTAATTTTTCCCTTATTTCTCTTCACATATGTTTTGTAAATCATTGAATATTCATTTTATTACATTTATTTATTGACAAGCATTCCATTGAATTACGATAGCTATTTTATCAAACATTTTAATCATATATTGTTTCATATTTTCTAAAATTATTTCTGTTTCTAATATAACAATACTATCTTATGTACCTTTGCAGAATCCCTTTTTCCATTAAATTTTCACCCATTATCTCTAAATAGGCCCTGTTTCTCTATATTTTGTTTCTGTCCTTTATGACTTCTTTTCCTTTCTTCCCTCTCTTCTTCTCCCTCCCCTTTTTACCCCCTTGTCTCTCTACTTCTAATTCTCTCTTCTGCATTTCCCTCTTCTGTTGCTTTCTGATTTTATACTTATTTTTCACTCTATTTTTTTTGGAGTTGTTTTTCCCAATCTTAAACTTTCCATTCTCTTTCCCCCCCTTTCCTTCCCCCCCCATCTAAGATTACTTGTTCATTAAAGATGGATTCTTCTTTGTCTCAATCTTCTTGTTCTGCAGGCATTTCTTGTTGTTTCTCATAATTCCAAATCTCCATTTCTAAAAACTGAAATACGAAACCAAAAGAACCTCTTCCTTCTTGTGCATCTTCTTTGTACTTTTTAAGTTCCATTTTCAGTTCTTCTAAAAGTGGAGCCATTTTAAACAGTTTTAAACAACCACCCGATTGATTTTAGTCATTCAAATACAATAACCAAAAATCCAGAAATCATCAAGTAATCCAAATAGTCCCAAGTTATTTATTCTTATTTCTTTTTTCACTTTCTCTTCCTGGGGTTTTTGATGCGATATTTCAGTTAAAAGGTATCTTTTGGAAGTCTTGTTGAGATTTTGCTGTAAGTTCTTTTTAATTCCAGGCAGTCTCCTCCCTTCCAGATCCTGCCCTTTTATTCTTTTTCTCTCCTTTCCTGTTTTCAAAAGCTTTTAATTATCCAGAAATCTTTATTATCTCTTTGACTTTTTATTTTCAGCATTAAATGCCTATTGATGTCAAAGTGGATTTTTTTTCCAATTTCTTGCTTAAGTCTCTTAGCTGTCAGTATAGGAAAAGGAGAAAAAAAAACCAAATCTTTTCCCTTTTCTCTCTCCTTCGCAGCTTAAAAATCTTCTTAGGGAACAATGTTATTGTTTTTTTTAAATAGTTTCAATTCCAGGATACCTTATTTGTTGCTTTTGCTGTTTGACCTGGTCAACCAAAACTTTCTCTTCTTATCTTCCTCCTGCACATTCTTTTCCGGTCGAGTTCTTCTTTGTGGTGGCCATTTCTGACCACTGCTACAACCGCCTTCGGGAAAGGGAGTAATGGCCAGCTGGGGAGGAGAGATGCGGCTCTCCTCAACCCTGCAGTCAGTCTTCCACTTCTTCACCACCTCTACGGGGTGGCTTAGCCCCGAAACCAGCCGGCTCGGGGCGCTCCAGCGGCGAGCACGGATCGAAGCCTCACAGAAATGAGGTTTCGGTCTGTCGCCGAAGAAGCTCAAACTGGAAGCCAACAAGGAGCACTCTTAATGTTTGCATGATTGTTTTTCTTGTGTACAATGAGTCATATCCTTATGTAGTTAGCATTAGAGTTTGAATCAGCAGAATTGTGCTCAAGGAGTATTCTAGTTGGGGAAAGATTGTTTTTCCCATTTCCCCCTTTGGACTGTGAGTTTGGGGGACCATCTGGGAAGGTGTGGCACCAAAGGATTTAGGAGGAATGTGAATGACAAAAATCATTTCCTTCTTTCCCTGCCTCCAAGCAGGAGTGCAATGCATCACCATTTGTTCCATAGATTGAAAGTCTTCTTTAAACAGAGGATGGCACAGAACACACTTTTATTCTGACTTACCTGGTTGCACTAAGCCACTGCTCAAACCCCATGATTACTATTTGGACACTTTGCTGAATGAAACCTGCTTTAGTTTCTCTCTCTCTCTTAGGAAAAAGAAATGAAAATGTCATCCTTTCAATTCCTCTAATGCCATTAGTTTATGAGTCAATATACTGTAGCTGGAGTTCATTATCAAATGTTTTTAGACACTAAATACTTAAAAAATCACGTTGAAAAGCCCTTATGGCACTTGCATATGGCTAAATATTTATTTATTTATTTATGTGATGTACATACCACCCATGTCATCTAGAGAAACTAGATGGAATTATCTAATAGCAATCTTGATTCCCACCCCCCTGCAAAAATGTATTTCTTCATTAGATTTGTATTTTGTTTTTGATTTAGATTTGTATTAGATTTGTATTTTGTCCTATATATTGTTTCTCTACATTGATAAATGTTGCTTCACTCTAATGTTCCTTCTGCCAAAATTGTTGCCATTGCAACAACAATAAGAAAATCAGCCCATTTTAAAGTTGAAATCATAGGTTTAATCAAAAGAAGTTCTGGGGAAGATTCTGCCTCTGTTTCAGGTTTGTGAGATACTTTAGAATAGATCTGGAAAACATGCCAGATGGGGCAGGCTGGGGAAGAGCTAGCAGAGCTCCTACTATCTGAATAGAAGTATTTTTATATAATATTGAATTGAAATGAAATGTTTACTTTAAACATACATACCGGGGGTTATTATCGTGTATTAAAATATGTTATTTATTTTTAACCCAAAGGATCCATTGGTAGTGAATCTTTCAAATCCTGGATCCCTGACTTCAGCCATGCTCCTGTTCCTTCATAGCATGAAAGATGCTGGGAAAGGTCCTCTTTCTCCTAAAATTTTGTTCAACCAGCTCTGCCAGAAGTAAGGACACTCTTCTATCAGTAGTAACTTCCATGTGGAAAGTATTTACCTATTTAAATTTAAAGTGATTTAATTAATATGTCTTACGGTATTTCAATTTAAATTTAAATTTAAAATTTAAAACAGTAAGCATTTGCATTTTGTTATGAGGACCCCCTTCCTAGGTATTAATAACCTACAATAAGTTTTAAACAAAAGCAAAAAAACAGACAATTTCTCTTTCCATAGCAACTGTTTAGTGTCTGGTACTGTTAATTTTTTTAGTGTTGCAGCTGTTGGACATTTTGCTAAGACAGATTGTGTGCATAACTACAGGCTCCTTTTTGTTTGTTTCCACTATTCTGAATATTAGGGATGCAGACTTTTGACTTATCTAGAGGCTTAGCGGCTCATCAAACATTTATATACTTTTAAGTAAAGTATTCTTTTACCTGTTGCAGCTGACAGAAATTGTGAAATTGGGTATTACGGTGATCATACTCCTGATTGTATAGATTTCTAAATTATGTGAAATGTTCACAGAAATAGAATGGGTTACTTTCCATCATTATTATAATTTTACTGCTTTAATATTGCTAAGTAAGAGTTTCCTTAGTAAATGAATAATCAGTAGGTGATTATTTAATGTTTATTCTGATATTACCATGTTTCTCCAACAATACGGCCTTCACCAATAGGAAGGCCCAGCATGATTTCTAGGCATGAGGTGAAATTAAGCCCCCAAAATTTAGGCCTATTTAATCCATGCGTTTCCCCGCCATTTCTCACATCGTTCGTTAAAACTACACGAGGTGAAGAGAAATGGGGGGGGAAGGGGAGGGAGAAAACTTGCCTTTAGGAGTGCCCTGCAGGTAGTCTAGGATAGAATACCCCAATCTACTATTGATAGAACATCAGCCAATAGAAGTTCTCCAAAGGCAGAGTCACCAGCCACTTCTATTGGCCGGTAAAAGCGGCCTTGGGGGCGAGCACCCATGCACACTCCTGTCAGGAGCACTCCGCGGGCAGCAATGCCTCGCCCTGAAGTGGATGGTGACTCTGCCTTTGGGAAGCTTCCATCGGCTGATAGAAACAGCTTCGTGGCAAGGGACTGCGTGTGGATGCTGGCCCCGATGCCGCTTCTATAGGCCAATAGAAGCGGCTGGTGACTCTGCCTTTGGGGAGCTTCCATCGGCTGATAGAAACGGCTTCGTGGCGAGGGGAGTGCGTGTGGGGCGCTCCTGTCAGGAGCACTCCGCGGGCAGCAACGCCTCGCCCTGAAGCGGCTGGTGACTCTGCCTTCGGGGAGCTTCCATTGGCTGATAGAAATGGTTTTGTGGCGAGGGGACTGCACGTGGGATCTCGCCCCGAGGCCGCTTCTACCAGCCAGTAGATTTCCTCCCCCATGCACACCCCCACCTAGAGCACCCCATGCGCACTCACCTTTCCACAACACCACTTCTACCGGCTGATAGAAGCAGCTGGTGACTCTGCCTTCAGGGAGCTTTCATCGGCCAATAGAAGCAGCCTTGTGGAGATCTGAGTGCGCTTGGGGCGCTCTAGGTTGGGGTGCGTATGGGGGAGGAAATTAAGTCACCCCCGAAAAGACGTCCTAGCCATTTTTTCGGGGCTCAAAAAAAAAAAAAAGACCTGGCCTTATTTTATGAGAAACACGGTATAAAATATGTTATTTATTTTTAACCCAAAGGATCCATTGGTAGTGAATCTCTGACTTCTTCCTCCACGAACCTGGAACTAAGAGAGAATAGACCAAGTAGTAGAATTTTTCCAATATTATTCTTTCTAGATTATTAGAGAGGGAGGATAAAAATATTTTGATAGGTCTACACTAATTCTCAATACTGTATCATCAGTCATGGCACCATCCAAATGTTCAACTCCAAGATTTTCCCAACCATCACCATTGCTATGAATTCTGGGAGTTGAAGTACTCACATGTTTCTGCCCAAGAGAGACATTTATCTCTTCTGAGATAAGGCTTAGAGTGGTTGACTCAGCTTTCCATCCTTCTGAGGTTGGTAAAATGAGGACCTGGATTGTTGGGAACAATACGCTGATATTATAAACTGCTCAGAGAGTGCTGTAAAGCACTATAGAGCAATATATAAATCTAAGTGCTGTTGCTATTGCTATCTCAGTTCCATCATTATCAAAAGGGTGTTTAGCAATTTTGATAATTACTTTTAGATCTGTAATTCCCTGCCAATCAAAATCCAGTTAGGACCTCCTTTGATATCTTTCCACTGGCAAGCACAAAATGATCTTATTAAGATGTTATATCAATTGCTGAAATAGAACTGCTAAGCTCAGGTTCTGCTTATGTGAAAAACACAAATGCAGTTATTTTTAAATTATGTTTTCTGGATTGTGAAATTGTTCAATAAATAACATCTAAAAGCAATTTTTCTGAAAGTAACAAAGTTCTTTTTCAAGCAAGTGTGTTCTAAAGCACATAGGCCAGGCCTTTTCAATATTCCGCTAGAACTACCATAGAATATGAGACTGATGTTAATAATAAATTAATCAGTTCAGGCTCTGACTGAGTAATTAGCAAGATTCTTTGTTTTTTTTATCATTGAAACTGGAGCCTGAGTTACAGCTGTAAATTTTAGGCTAGAGTAGATGACGTGTTATCATAAAATAAATAGTTTACAGGATTTTTTTCAGGAACAAGTGATAATCTATGGTTTAATAAAGGAATATCTCTTTTCATTCTTTTCGGTGTTCTACAATATCACTTTATTCTGAATTTTTTTTGTAATTTATTTATCTCTTAGCCACACTAAAAAAATGTAGAACTTAATCTTTGTAGGGGAACAAATAGAAATGATTTTTTGCATTTAATTTTATTTGTAGTTAATGTTTACACAGCATATGCTGCATGTTTAAAAAGGAAATTGAATCACAGCATTACTATGCAACAGACAGGTTATCTAATAATCTACTTGATTTAAAATGAGTATACATTTTAAAATCAATATACAATAGAATGATCATATTCAGATAATTATGTTTTTCTAAAGTTGAGTATTAAGATAATAAACATGAATAAGTGTGGCATAGCTGTCTTAATCATCCTTCACTGCTTATGGCCATTAACAGTAATTCAACCTGTTCAGTTATTCATTCTCTAACGCCATACAACAGGTTGTATCATGTTGGCACTGGCTTCCATATGTCAAGTCATCTGGGAGTGGTCAGTTCAGTCAACCATTCCAGAATCTCCATTTTTGCTAGGGATTTTCCTGGAAGCATATTTTCAAGGGGAGAGGAATGCACATCTTTTAGTTGTCAAATCCAAACATATCAATGTGGACTACAGCTTCTGTTCCCCTGCTCCGCATATTTCCCATCTTATTTTAGTTTTCTCTCAAGGTTTATTAGAAAAAATCCTTTTCATTTTATCTAAAATGTATTTAAATTGTACTGGACATTATGATAATAATAGTAATAATAGTAATAACATGTAATAACAGATGTCTGCCATGTAACACCCCAAATTTAACAATTGTTGATAATAAAGACAAAAAAAGTCTGGATAACTTGATTTTAATGAGGGCAACATCAGGCTTGTGTTTGACCTTGAGGGGCCAGGGTGGGCGTGGCCAGGGTGGGTGTGGCCAGCTTGACATCACCTTGGGGTGCCTGTGGTGGCCTGAACACTCTGCCAGCGAAAACGGGCTCCCAAACTCCATTTTTTGCCTGCAACAGCCTCTTGCAACCCTCTGCCGGCGAAAATGGAGCTTGGGAGGGTTGGCCCTCCCTAGCTCCGTTTTTACTGGCAGAGGGTTGTGGGAGGCTGTTGCAGCCAAAAATGGAGCTCAAGAGCCTGATTTCACTGGCAGAGGCACTGAGGGCCCATCCTTCACTGTTTCCAGGGCAGCCCTGCAGGCCAGATCTAAGCAACCCGCAGGCCAGATCCGGCCCACAGGCTTTGAGTTTCACACCCCTGGGATAGTGGATGTTGTAGTACAGGAAACAGCAGAATAGGAGAGAAAGAACTGGAGAAAAATCACAAAATACAAAGACCTTCAAGTAGAAGTGGCAAAAGAAAGGAAAAGTAATAATAATAGGCACTTTGATAGTGCAATCCAAAAACAACTGGAGCACCAGTTGTACACCATTGGCATTGACAAATCATCATCAATCAAGAGTCCTGAAAATTTGGTAGACAGACAAGAAAATAAACAAATGGATCATTGATCTCTTCCCACTTATCATCTATCTCTTCCCACTTATGACTATAACCGTGTTGCTTGTATCTTTATAATTTATATTGTTTTATTTGTTTTCTTAGTATGTTTTGATTGCATATTAGTAATCTATGACTATTACTAAGTATTGTATCTTATGATTATTGATGAATGTATTTAATTTTTTCTTAGGTATACTGAGAGCATATGTAATAAAGACAAATTTCTTGTGTGTCCAATCACACTTGCCCAATAAAGAATTCTATTCTATTCTATTCTATTCTATTCTATTCTATTCTATTCTATTCTATTCTATTCTATTCTACAAATCAGGGTTCTTACTTCAGGCATAAATGACCAGGCTCTCGCGCTCTAATACTGGGAAAGATGGAAGGGAAAAAAAAGAAAAGAAAAGGATGACCTGTAAGAAGGTAGATGGACTTAGAGTGGTGATGTTGGAAGAGTTGAAAGATCAGGTTAGAAATAGATTGTTGTGCAGAAAAACCTAACTATTGTATATATTTATTGTGAGTTGAAAATGACTTGATGGCACACAATCAAATCTATTAAGGCAGAATAAAAATACAAAAAACTGAAACTAGTGAGAGAGCCAGAAATAAGAATTACTTTCCTCTCTTTCTCTCTTTTCTCCTTTCTTTCTTTTCCTGTTTGCTCAGTTGTTTTTAGAATTCTTTTCCATAGAACAAAAACTGCTGAACAAAAGGCTTGCAAAATATTTTTGAAAATTGGGCCAAAGGCTACGTGAAATTTGCACTGAGACTGTAGGTTAATACTCCTGGTCTCAATCGTACCTAAAAG